AGCGAATCACACTTTTCGTTAGAACTTATTTACGAAATGAAGAAAACAAGATTAAAATATAACTACAAAACAAATTTAAAAAAATAGCAAATTTTTTTGAAATGAACAATAAAAATATCTGAAAATTAAACATAAAAAAAACAAAAAAAAAACAGAACACAAAAAATAAGTAGAATAACCGTCATCATTGTTTCTTAAAATATAATATTACATTTGAAAGTAAAAAATGGTATTTCGTACGACAGGTTGGTGGGACTGGTCGCAAAAAACTGAAGGTATCGTATGGCCGAAGGAAGCCCCGCGACCGAGTAAGGAAACCATACTACCGGCTTAACTTCATGCACACATTTAACATTTGATACTAATGCCATATTAACAGCCGACGACGGTTTTAAATCCTTTTTTTTATGAAAAAAATTTTTTTAGACACGATTATAACATTAAGTTGAGAATATGTTTTTAAATTTGTGATATAGAAACCAATTATGTACCTATTAAAATTTGGTACTGTTACTAAAAGAAAATTATTAGAAATAAGGTATTACTGTAGGCATTCTGTAGCAATACTCTTGTTAAAGGAAAAATTTATGAGTTTTATTATTTAACAAAATACAATACTTTTGGAAAGAATTAAAACAAACTATAAGAATAAATTCCGTCATAATAAATTAGTAAGTTTAAATGATTTACTAAAAATAAATATTTTTTATTAATTAGTAAATATTTTAATATTTTCAAAACAGTTGTCGCTATATGTAGGTATAATTACGAGTATATTAATTAAATAAATATAACATATAAATGTTAACTTAAAAAATAAAATATAAATACTTACTAGGTCATGGTGTTATTAAAACACTGAAGTAATGTAAACTAATTTGAATTTAGAACTTAATTGTCACTTAGTAGCATTGTTTTTTTTTTAAATCAAAGTAAAAGAAACTATGTTATTAATAATACGTGTGTTCACGAGGTAGTCTGGGGTGCAAGTGAGCACGACAGGAGACCACAATACGAGTATAGCGCGCTCCTATATGTCCTGTCTCTCCACCCCTAGTCGGTTTGGCGCATGGCAGAAGAGGTTGAGTATTAAGTGCTTAACGCGTAGGTGGGAAGACTTAGGTGAACTAGTAATAAAAACTATGCGCGGTTTAAAAGTATAAATAGTGTTGAGGTCACCGACGGTATATACTGGTAGTTTGTGATAGGTATATTGTGTAAATAACCTAAAAAAATGTACGTTTTTATATAAAACCGATTTCATTAATTAATTTAATACGATAATATATTATTTATTATTAATTTTCAATATTTTTACAAGAACTTATTTGGGTAACTATTTTTAATTAAATACTGTGTTTATTATAAGAATAAATAAATAACAAACAAATATATTCCGTAGAGTGAAAATGAGATTTTCGGAAATCTTAACTTTTTTAAAATTTAAGTGATGTTTTATTTAAATCATTTAAATAATATACTTGAATTTGCAAATAAGTAAGTAAACTATACTAAACTAAACTAAATAGGTAAAAGTTAACTATGAAAAATATTTATTAATAAAATGTGGTACAGCTTTAAATCAGCGGTTTATTTATTATTAGGATTTTATAGTCATGTTTTTCATATAGCGATATAAAAACATGCAATTACTTTTGTGACTTCGACGTTTGTTCAGATATGTATAGATACATTGGTATTTAGAGTAATAGTAGTAATTCTGATCTTGAAAACACGTTACATAGCCAGGCGCTATAAGTTACATGGTTAATTATTTCAAGTGGATTAATGTCTTTATATAAAGTCTCATAGTACGTTAGAAAAACTCTTAGGATATCGCAACGTTAACACTATACGTTACAATATCTATCTATCTATCTAACAGCTTTGTTATGTTATGTTTTATATAATTTCGTTATTATTTTTTTCGATGTAGACTATTTAGACTCCTTATTCATATTGAACGCTAATTGCTGGACGTCCACATTGTTCAAGGTAGAGAAATCCCTAAAATGATTGCTGTCCGTTGATGATCGACATAGCTAAGATGGTGTCAATTGAATGTCGTTTGCGCTTATAATTTAGACCACAGGAATTGGTTCACCGTATTGTCTTTTCATTTTGGACACCTCTTTCAGGTATAGTCAAGCAAATTTTTAGGATATATGAAAAATAAAAATATAAAGGATAGTTTTAGATAATATATGTAGTTACTTTTTAATTTAAAGAAAACTTTCCACCACGAATTGTAAAAAGGATTAAGAATAAAGTTATACGATTTATCATAATTTAGGCATGTGGAAGTGGTTGATACTTTTTAAAAGTTATTTTTTGTAATATTTTATAATTTCATATTAACTTCTGCCCCATAAACAGAATATACTTACCTAATGTTGTAGAAAAATATAATATTAAATACGTCGTATTCTACTATCACGGGATTTTGAAATGGAATCTTATTCAGAATCGTATTCTGTCTAGTGATTGTAGAGTATTCTACAATCACTAGACAGAAATACGGGTAGGTATACGAATCCAGCTCTCAGCTCCAACTTAAATATGCGGTATCCCGTTCCACGTACGTAACGTAATCTTGTCTCAATTTCTTTTGGTCCCATCTGCATACGAATACCATTTAAAAAAAAAGGTATTAAAATCAGACAGGTGCACGGACATAAAAGGCTAAGTCAAAGCAAGACCAGTTAACCTACTGTTCCTAAGCTCAGAACTAACCTAAGTTCAGAGAAACTGTCGTCGTTAGCCCTGTTTTCTGCGGAGCGCTTCAAATGCTGAATTCGAACAAAAATCGCCTACGCAGCTCCCGCAAAGTAACTTGAAATCGTTACTAAATATAATTAATCTATAATAATTAAATACATATATATATATTATTTATTTCCGGAAGCATTAGTTGTCTTTAATGAACGAGATACCTCAAAAAATTCAATAAAAATTAAATTATCGTTAGCGAATACAGAAATACTTTTACGATGTAGGCAGTTAATATGCCTGACAAAATTGACCTGTCACAGTTACAGTGGTATGTATTTATTCACTTACTCCGGCAATATATGTTTTGTAATGTGACATTATACTTAGTACGAACCAGTCGGAATTCTTCGACGAGGCCGGTCAGAAGCCCCTCAAATGAGGTCGGCGCCTACCTCATTACAGGATTATGAACTAACCGCCACAAAGATTTAAACCAGGAGTCCATTTCCTGACATGTCAATAAGGTTGTATAAATTATGTAACACTCCTCAAGAAATTAAGTGTTATAAAAGACTTCCGAAAACTTATATTCGTTATTATTTACAAGTTTGTTATAAAAACCTAAAACTAAATGATTTGACAATATGACGTCACGGCTCGTAATTTCATACAAGTTTTCTATAAAACGTATCGTTTTGAGTCTAGATAAGTTAAGCGACGTGGGTTTCATTAACATGTTGGTAATGTATTCTGTGTTATTCGTAAAGTAATGATTTAAATTTTTTGTGTTCTTTAAAATAATGTAATCTATACGTACTTATGTTTATATTAAATTTGGTTACCGTAGTCTACCTAATGAAAATTATCACCTGATCACAATCAGACAGCGACGTATTGCAACCCAACAGAAAACTCCAAATGTTATATAATAAGGAAACTAGTACTAGTGTTTTGAAAAATATTTACAAATTGGTATCTCTACTCTAGACTATTGAATGCAAATTAGATGAAAATAATAAAATCAATATTCCATATTCATAAAACATTGCTCATATTAGTAACTAGCTGACCCGCGCAACTGCGTCTGCGTCTCTCAATAGTAATAATTTTCTCAGTTTTTGAAACATTCTTCAATGGTGCTCCGCTCCTATTGGTCTTAGCGTGATGATATATAGCCTATAGCCTTTCTCGATAAATGGTCTATCTAACACTGAAAGAATTTTACTAATCGGACCAGTAGTTCCTGAGATTAGCGCGTTCAAACAAACAAACAAACTCTGCAGCTTTATAATATTAGTATAGATTACGTGTCGAATCGTCACACGAGTTAACTTGAAAGTTTGCCAAGGATAGAAAGAAGTGTCCATAGTGTATTTTATTGGCATTTTAACACAATAAAGTGTCTAAAACAAATATTCGATAGTTAAGCATTTCTGAGAGCGACTTATCTGATAACGCGATTGCCTACAAAATATTTTTTCAAGCTCCTGTCCACCACTATATTGATGACCCTGTCTTTTTGAACCTTCTTCTCAGTGAAGGAGTATCGTGTACTGTGTTGTCTTTCAATACCACCAGGTGGCTACAGATTTGGCGTGACAGTAGTCTGAGCCGAATAGTATTCATCGACTCCTGACAAAGATACGTAAGCAGCAAACTAATCCACTTACTAAATAATTAGCTGAAGAGTTTTCCTTTTTTGGAACCTTTGAGAGCTAACTTGAAAAAGTTCGTTATGTGACAGAACATGAACGTACGTAAAATTTACAAATTTAACCAGAACGTAAAACATATGCAGAGTCAGTGAATCAGCATGCTCCATAGCAGGTTCTTATCCTATTATCAACGTGATATAAGTCTTCAAAGCAGATAGAAAACAGCAATATCAGAATTATTTCCTTTGCTACTGGTTCACCAGAAGGTTTTCTTTAACTGTCATAATGTCTCTAAATATTAATAAGTATCATGTATTGCCGACTTTCTACGAGTAGTACCATGCTTTGTGTTTTGATCATCTGGCAGGTAAACCAAAACATTACACATTTATGTAAGTACTTCAGTTCGTTATTTCTAATTATGCATTTAAGACAAACCTATTGGAAATTATTAGTTTTAACGAAGCTTGGCTAGAAAACTCAAAATATGTTACTAATAAATGAAAAATTGAGATTTATTTATGTAGGCATGGTTTGTAATTCTTACCACAATTTGTTTAATATAAAAATATCACGACAACAAGACTATAGAACAGTGATAATACAAAAATCAATATACCCCGCTACAACTCATCACTCATCATCATCTACAAAATGGAGGCCATCAAGACGAAGCAGAACATCGAAGTGCCCATTCAAAAAACTGCCACGAAAACGCATACGTTTTATTTCACCACTGTCACCAAAGGAACCACGTAATGTGTTACGCTCGTACACCTCAAAAATAAACGGATATATAGCACCAGCTGCGATTAGTTCAGACACAGAACCGTAAGTGCTAACGTTCAACATGGCACACGAATAAACTTCAGCGTTGGGATAAGTGGCTCCGTTCTCATCACAAGTGTATACCTCCAAGTGATCCCAGTTAGTCACAACGTAGGAAACGATTGCAGACCTGATTTGATACGCAGTTACAGTGTCCGTAAGGTCAGTCATTAAGTACGTCAAAGCATGAAATAGACAGGAGCCGTCTTCTGGCATCGGAACCACAATATGGGGCATTACGCTACCATCAGGTAAATGAAGCCACTCTGTCCGGCCTTCCATTTTTTTACAGTTCTGTTCTGAGTGTGTAACGTAGACTTTAATAAAGACATGAAGAAGTAAAGCGTACGACTACATTTAGTTTATTGTTAGATTTTTAGACTTATATATTGAGGAATGCTTAAAACATAAGTCTTAAAATCTATTGATTTGACACTACTTTGACACCTAGTACAAAACGATAAAACGACAACAAACAATACAACAAAAAGACGCAGATTAGTTGTAATAAAACAAAACTGGAAACTAAATATTAGGTACATATCTTCACATTTTACCAAAAAAATTGCTGCATAATGTTTCAACACTGAACCATTAAACAGTGAAAAATATAGTAACATGACTTTCAGCTCCTGACATCATAGATAATAAACTTACTTATATTTTTTTCGACTTTGACGCTAGGCTAAGATGTGTGAGAGTAATGCCTCTTTTGAAAAAGGTTTATTCCATACTGTGTAATTTTGTAGTTATACATCTATATATATAAAAGAAAGTCGTGTTAGTTACACTATTTATAACTCAAGAACGGCTTTACAGATATGGCTGAAAATTGGTGGGGAGGTAGCTTAGAGCCAGGAGACGGACATAGGATGCTATTTATTCCGTTCGACAGTGTTTTTTTTTTTTTGTTTTTTGACGAACTTTTTTTTTTTACGAACATCCATGTTTTTCCCATGGTCAATTACATGTGGCATGTTCACGGGTCTGAAGACCATCTGCGTTGTTGGTTTTTGCGCCTGATAAGAAAACAAAAAATGTCGTGTATCAAAAGGTACTTAAGTGAAGAGCAACCTATGTACTGAAATGCAGAAACAATAATAAATGATTAATGTACTTCATTTTTTTTCTAAGAAAAAAATTAACTTACTAAATTCGAAAATCGGCTTATTTATTGCCTTTAAGGCGGAACAGAGTTCGCCGGGTCAGCTAGTAATTATATGAAAACTAGTTTACGACTATTTCTGTGGTTACTGTTACCTGTTGAGGGCACTTTTGTGCTATCCAAATATTAATACACAATTAGTACTATGGATGCAGGTATAGGCAGAGCGGATTCATGCGATGATAATATTTTTGTAACCTATCACTGGTACCATTGTGCTTCGATAGATGGCATTGTTTGTCTATTATGAATCCATACTTGGTCTTATAAATGTAGAAGTGAGTTTTGTTTGTTTGTACGCTTCCACGCCTAAACCACTAAAACGATTTTAAAAATTAATTCTTGGTATTAAGGAATTCTTGGTAGTAATGTTGATTTATGCACTGAAGAAGCAAAAGCAATAGGACCGCTGTTTCAAAGAGTGATCGCGATTTTACTATAGTATTTTTTTCTTGCAGGCTTATCGATAGTGAGCGTAGCACGAAATGTAAATAAATCATGGTGGATTTTTCTATTACTGTATTAAATAAAGCTACTTACTGTTCGATGTGCAGTTTATCTTTGAATAAATATTTTATTCGCAATTCAAGTTTTGGTTCTTTTTTAAAAATGACAAGGGTCCTGTTTATATTTCTAGTTGTTTTCATGGCTTTAAGTTTGCTGCTGTTGTCAAAAAATACATATTTTTAAGATTAAATTTTTAATTTATATATTACAATTTCTCTTAGCAAAAGATCTCAAAGAACAATTTTAAACTTTATTGAGATGTTTACAAAGATTTGTAAGCGTCATAAGTCTTCGAAGAAATAATAAAACACAATGCCTTGCTTTCATCCTTCGATAATTATTTCTAAATAAGAGATGTTTCGTTTCCAATCGGTTTTATAAAAAGTCCCGTGTTTCGTATTAGACACCGGAGCCCGAAGCCCCGCATTACGGAAGTTATTTCCTGTCACCCGACACCACTCGGCCACGCGTGATGGTATATCTATCGGCAATGTCGATTGAAGTGACATTAGCGTGTAGGAGCGACCCTTGCCGGTGTGTCCGGAGTTCCGGACAATATTCGGATAAAGTTTAATTTTTCATCATGAAATGAAATCACCTGATGGTACCGTGGCTACTGCTGACTATGAACACCTGGAACTCAAGACTCACAAGTGTATTGCCTTCCTTTAAACCAGAATCAGGGGTTGCGCTCTGGTAACCTCACTCAAAGAGAAGAAAAACTCGAAACAAACCCTGCTCTCTCACGGTTATGATTTTTTATAGTAATTTCTAGTGTCCAACCGAGACAGGTTTTTTATCCAAAATCGTAACCGAAATTTCGGCCCTTGTTTCAGTTTGGGCCGAAACCGTAACCAAAAACGAAATTCAAACTATCATTTGAAAATTTCGATTGTTCAGTGAAATCCAGTTTATTTTTTTATTTTCTGCTTATACCTACATACCACCTAAAACCACTGTTATAATGTGTACACATGCATTCATTCTGAATAAGAGAAAATGTACTTAAGTAGTTAGATTAAAAAAAAAAACGTAGGTAGGTACTGTCCTAGAAATTCACCTGTCCAAATTAACTAGGTAGGTATCGCACGCGATGACAAGGCGAGGTGGCTGACTAGGTATTTTTTTATTTTTTTCTCATAGTTAAGGTTAAGCAACACTGAAGATCACATGCAGGATAAGTTTTTTGGGTGGTTAAAAATGTTAAAATAGCTGTACAGAATGTAATTCAACAACAATTAAGTATCTACAAACAAATAAATCGAAAGGTCAAAATGATACTCAAAATTATAGAAACGATTGAGGTTAGTTTTCATCTTATAAAACTACGCTCAAGCGTTTCTTGAGTTTTAAGAAACGTTCTGCAATACGGCCCAAGTAATATCTAAATCAAACATGATTATCTGTCACTAAAATATAAATAAAACTCAACTTGCCTCCATACACCATTAATTAAGGTCGCACTGGACGTCGGCGAACTGAACCAGACCCAGTGTCCATGAGTTAGCCGCGAAGTTGACTGAACGACGCACGGCACTTCACGAACACTGAGTTTTGGTATGCCGTAAGTTTCGGCTAATTTTGGCCGAAACCGAAACTAGATTTTTTGGCCGAAACTGGCCGAGACCGGACCTTCGGTCCGTTACTAGTAATTCCACACATGTGTGAAAGTGTTGTTATGTTAATAAGCATAATAGTTTCGCCATGTTCGCCTGTCTGTTCTTTCGTTCGTATGCGACTAATTGTAAGCAAAAAGACTGTTAAGACTATAAAAAACTAAGACTGGATTTAGTCAAGTGACAAGTTTTGTTAGAGTCTAGTGTATGAATAGTGTTTGCTTGAAAGTAGTAGAGAAAATCTAAATGGTGGTAAATTACCTTCACACAACGGATTTAGGAATGGTCACCGAACTTATGAAATTAGTGAGTACTTGCTAACTTTCACATACCTTATAATAACTTCAAACATAAAATTATTGAGTTAGAGTTGTAATTTATTTAAACCGGGTACAACGAAACGAAACCTAACACTGCTCGTAGCCTGACATGCACTTGTTCGGTTGTTTGGTAGTTTTGTTTTCTTCTATTTGTTTTTTTTTAAATAATTTATTTAAGATTAATAACTATTATAATATAATTGATAACTATTTTTCTTTTTTTATTGTCATTGGTACTCGTAATGTGTGCTTGATAAAGGTGAGATTTCTTTAATTTTAGCATAGTACAGATCCAGTATAACTTGAAATGTCGCTGTACCAGTGACCTTTATCTATAAAGGTTTTTTTTTTAATTTTTATAATACATTTTAATTGAAGTCTTCCTCTTTTTGCATTTCTTCTATACGTTAACTTTAATCAATCTATTTATATATCTTTAGAGTGTCTGTCCTTTATTACGTTAACACCTAACGAACTTACTCTAGTAAGAGTTTGTCTACGTCGCGTATCCGACTTCGCTCGTCTACGCGGCAGCTTACTAGCGATAATAGGAGTGACAAAAAATGACACTAGATGGCGCTCTTTTATGTCATCAATGTTTATAATAAATAAATCATCATACATTAAACATTTTAAGAATACTGTTTGATATAATATGAACAGCCAATGTAACTAGATAACGTACAAAGAATTTGTAGTTCCCGTGCTTTGAGATAGATGGCGTTGAATGTATTGCTTAAAAATTTTGAAGATCGTGATTGAGAATTTGCCTTATGTTTAACCAGTTTGCACTGGACATGGCTACAGACTAACTCAGTCAGCCTGTTACGTGATCTTCTAATGTGATTAAATCATTTTTTTCTAAAAGTATTGAAAGTGGTAATGTGTAATGACTGCACGAATAGTGTAGTGGTTTAAGCGGTGTAGTGGTTTCGATCCCCACATAGGACACCAATTCGTGTGATTCACAAATTGTTGTTCTGAGTCTGGGTGTTCTTTGTGTCCGTTTCGAGTATGTTTGTAGAGCAAAAAAAAATACTCTGCCACATTCACACAATGCCATCTAGTCCCAATCTAAGCAGAGCTTGTACTATGGGTACTAGACAACTGATATAAATACGAGTAGTAGCGAGAGATCTCCTCGAGATGACTGCTGTGAGGACCCGACGCTGCGACGAACAAGCCGGGCAAATTGCCAGCGTGTGCTGATCCGAGTCCTGACTGCAATAAGCAGTCCTGAGTGGTGACAGGCGAGACTCAATTCCCCTCTAGCGACCGAGTGCGCGTACTTTCCGAAGCCGCCGTGCCCGGACATTAGCGTCCATTAAGGACCTGTGTTAGTCGGAAGGAAAGGGTCCCGTGCGGCAAAACCGGCATGTGGAGCCTCCGGAGGGGACGACCAACAAACTATTTAGCTCGACGAGCGGCCTCACGAAACTCGCGTACTTCTACGGGTGGGGGCTGATTGCCGCTAAAACCACCCAGAACTCAGTCGTACGCCGATATACTTTAACGAGCACTTCCGCCTCCAAATCCCACGAGGGGGTTCCGGTCAACGAGCACGCTACCTCCGTCGACACGATGCGTGCGCGTATGCCTCTAACCGTCAATATCCACTGAGGACGTCAAAGGCCCTATTCTAGGCCGCCCTATACTGGACGGTTAGAGCCGCCA